TATATAGTTGTGTCTTCTTTGAATTGTTTGACTGTGAAGGAGCTAGGTACAGAAAGACATTTCACTGTATGGACTTCTAAGCTAAAACAACATATATGTTCTAAAGGTAATGGACTTTCAAATTTTGATATAAGGATATGTTGCTTTGGAAAAGAGGTTCTTCTTTTGTTTCCTCAGAGGATGAGAATCTGTGGAAACCTTAAAGACTAATGTGGTTTGATGGAAGCAATCACCCCCAAAATGTTGCTGTGAACACCCCCAAAATTTACTCCAGCCAACAAAAATCATGAAGCAGTTTGGAAAGAACTACACCCAAATTCCTAAATATCGTTTAAAATATTTGTTTAAATTTAAAGGGGGATATGCTATTTAGATTTGCATTAGTAGAGATCTTGGTTTATTGATACAAATTTGACGTCCAATTGGTTATATGTGTATTTCTGCTTTTGATTAAGGTATTGCTTGTGCAGCTTATTTAAAAATGCAATGTATAATTAAGAAATATAAGTTAATAGAGAGTCATCTATAATAGCCAAGCTTGTAGTCATATTAGTTAGGTTTTCTAGATATATATAGATATGTTTTAGTTAGATAATCTCCAAACCTTTCAAATACCTATGGAATATGGCATTTAAAATGCTTTAAGAACTTAAGACTTTTCATGACATGAGACACATCTGCTCCTGGCAGCACCAATTTCTTAAAGAAAAAGATGGGCATCAAAGAGGCGTCTTGTGGAGTTTGATAGTCATTTGGACAAGAAACTGCTCTTGCCTAGATTGTTTGATGTTATGCTGAACTGAACTTTCAGGGCCAACAGAAAAATAACTGCTGAAGCTGCCTAAAAAAGGTGAGACAGTCCTTCAGGTTTCCTGCTTCATGAAAAAATCTTCCAGGCATTCTGCAGGACACAGAAAAAAGTGGCTGACAAACTGCCAGTATAGGTGGAACTGTCTTTGAAATTTCCTGCTTCATGGAAAAGAATGTTGGATACTGTGGGCTGTAGGCTAAAGACTGGATGCCCCAATCTTACAGAAGAAATTTGGGTTACTGTCAAGGAAGTGAGGCATCTCTGTCAATTCTAGAGTCTTAGAATTTGCTTACAATTAACTTCCTGTTTACTTAAGTAACATTAATCTTTCTGGAGTCTTTGATGGAGTTGAAAAGTTATAGTTAGTTTTCCTTAATTATGATAAAAGATACAGTTAATATAGACATTTTAACTATAATTTTTGCTTGATAACTGTTTTGTTGCATGTAATTTTACTATGTTTCTTTTTAATTTTTCTTTATATTCTTTTTATTGAAGTTGACAAAACTTTTCATTGACAAAGAGCTCCTACAGCTGATAAACACCTTTAGTAATGTGGCAGGATACAAGATCAACTCCAAAAAATCAGTTGCCTTCCTATACACTAAGGATAAGGAAACAGAGAGGGAAATCAGAGAAGCATCACCTTTCACCATAGCCACAAATAGCATAAAATATCTTGGGGTAACTCTGACCAAGGAAATAAAAGATCTATATGACAAGAACTTTAAGTCTTTGAAGAAAGAAATTGAAGAGGACACCAGAAAATGGAAGGATCTCCCCTGCTCTTGGATTGGGAGGATCAACATAGTAAAAATGGCAATTCTACCAAAAGCAATCTATAGATTCAATGCAATCCCCATCAAAATCCCATCAAAATTCTTCACAGCTCTGGAGAAGACAATAATCAACTTTACATGGAAAAACAAAATACCCAGCATAGCCAAAACAATCTTATACAATAAAGGATCGTCTGGAGGCATTACCATCCCTGACTTCAAACTCTACTACAGAGCTACAGTATTTTACTATGTTAAAGTTAAAACCTTTTTATTTAAACTGAAAAGGGGAAATGGTGTGAGAGGTCCTTCTGTCTATGTGTTGCTTTTATTAAATAATTAGTAAAAAAACTGCTTTGGCCTATAACAAGGCAGAACTTAGCTAGACAGGGAAAACTTAATGCTAGGAGAAAGAAGGCAGAATCAGTGAGAAGTGATGTAGCCCCACTGGAGACAGATGCTGGAACTTTACTTGGTAAGCCACAGCCTTGTGGCAATACGCAGATTAATGGAGATGGGTTAATTTAAGATATGAGTTAGCTATAAATATGCTTAAGCTATTTGCCAAAGAGTTTTTCAAATAATATGGTTTCTGTGTGATTATTTCATAGCTGAGTAGCTGGGAACAAACAAGTGGCCACCTACAACAGCTCTTCCCTGGGACATACTGATTCCCTCTTTCTCAGGAGTCACTAATTACCTGTAAGTATTTATGTAGGGGTAGTGTCTTATAAAATTGCTTCCATCCAATTGGCAATTGATATTATCACTTTTTTTAGGTCTTGTTTTTTTACCACCATACTGTTGAGATTTTATGGGTATTATTTTCCTGTCATATATAGAAGACACTATCTCAAAGCAGATGTCCTAGTCCTCTTTTGCTTGTGGGCTTTTTATCACCTCTCATGATGGAGGAAGATATTTTTTACAAAGTAGTACCTGTACAGAATTTAGATAAGTCCCTCCTCTTTTTTATGTTTTCATATCATAGTCCATCATCAAAGGAAGCAGAGTAGGAACCTGGAAGAATGAGCTCCAGCTCTTTTCAATACAATTCTAGTTCTCTACTTCTAGAACTGTGCCCAAGAAAAATATATCAAAGAGAATTCCTAGCGTTTTGAGCTAGTATGGCCATCCTTGGACTGGATCTGGTGGAAATCTTCTCTTCAAATCAATCCTAGAACCTTGCTAAATTGGGACTATAGTGCTCTCTTGGGGCCTCACAATATTCAGTTATTAATGAAAGATGCAGAAAAAAAAAGAACCTAGAAATACAGGACCTGGGGAATAAACAGGAAATAGGCATTTTACCCCATGGGAAAATGATGGCTTCTCAGGAAAGTCTCAATGAATCCACTGGTTCCCGAATTGGTACAAATCTCTAAGAACAAATACTGCCTCTCACTGAGGAGTCAGTTAACATCACAGAGCTGGAGCTCATTTGTCCATGTTCCTATCCTGAGTTCCTTTGATGTTGGACTATGATATGAAAGTCACAGGACCATGTCCCTAAGTCTACTTCATTTCCATCCTCACCACTATACTACTTATAACCAATCCTAACAGATGACAATTGTCCTTAATCTTGAGGAGAAAAAAATCTATGGGAGAGATTTTTTTTTAAGAATTACTTCCAGCTGTCATGGGGCAATGTTAATTCTATGGGATTGTATAAAAACTAAAATGATGGTTAAGTCTCAATATTACTGTCTGGTACAATTGTAGATAATCTCTGAGTAGTTGGCAGAATTTTTCTGAAGTTCTTATTTAAAGTTCTTGTTTGAACTCTGAACATGGTAGGAAGCTGAACATCTCAACTAATCAAGTAGGAATAATTTTTAGCAGTTTGTAGCCAAAAATCAATCTTAAAGTGCTATCAGATCAATGGTATCATATGAATCAGGTGGAATCATTGTGGTTGGGCCCCATCTTCTTCCTGAAGACTTCAAAGAATTGCTGTAAAAAAACTTTCTTATTCAGTATAAAAAACTTAAACATTATTCATATCAAAATGGAAAGTTTGGATTTTGATAGACATACATTCAGAATAGGTACCATAAAGACAAAAAGAGTTATGGGGAGAAGTAGAATTTTTGAAAGCAGAATTTTGGCAACAACCTTTCTCCCTAAGTTTTTATCTTCCTTCTGTCCTACACCAAATAGCTCTTCTGACATGAGACAGATACTCCGAATTTTTCTTTTAAGAATATTCTTGGGTTTAGAAAAGAACCACAGTCCTACTCCAAAGATAGCATTAATTTTTTTGATAGATTTGGGACTACCAATATACCAAGAAGTAAGGATATTTAGGTAGTGAGATATTTACATGCAGAGAATATTGGTATCATAAGTGAGGTTTTTCTTTACTTTGGTGATTCTTTCTAGATAGCTATTTTTTCTTCTTCAGGCATCTAGTTGTTCAAGGCCTCTTGACTTCTCAAAGATGGGTATCTTCCCATTTTCCTGCAAAGATAGGAACAGAACCCAGGCCACAGCCCTTGTGAGGTTTCCTTACAACTTGTAGGATTGTCATTTTGGTGGATAAAATGTCATTTCTCTTTGCTAATAGGTTTCTCCTTTTCAAACCAAATCTTGAATATTTTTTTATGATATCCATAGCTTTTATTCCCTGTGAAAAAAAAAAAGTAAAACCCCTTTCCCAGCATAGCACATCTCCTGGTTTCCATTCTTAGGCCAACACATTCTTGAAGTATACCCGCTGATTCAGAAGTTTTTTCCTATTACCCAAAGCCTCTCTGTTGCTGTTGTTCATTTCTCATTAGCATTAAGAGAAATCAAGAATAATCAGACATCTTCTAATCTACTTCTGGGGGTACTTATCATCCATTTATGTTTATTTAACATATCTTTTAATGCTTAATTTGGTCTTCCTATAAATATCTGACCTTTAATATGCTTCATATTATGATAAGCAAAAAAAAACCCTCTTTCCTTTTCTTAGAAACATAAGTTGCAGCATTGTCTGTTTTTATTTGTGCAAGTATACCCATCATGGCCCTAACTTCTAGTAAATGTGTGATTACTGAGTCAGTCTTTTCCAATCTCAAAGCAGTTGCCCATTAAAAACCTGAATAAATATCAACAGTGAGGTGTACATATTTTAGTTTTCCAAATTCTACAAAATGGAAAACATCCATCTGACAGATTTCATTCCTTTGATGATCCTTTTGGTGACTTTCTGCAGTCATGTTTGGTTGTATAAAGAGCAATTAGGACTTTTCTTTATAATTTCCTTGGCTTGTTACTATGTGATGGAAAAGTCCTTTTTAAAATCTTTGCTATTGACATGGTGATTTTATGAAATTCTGAGGCCTTCAGCACATTTCCAATCAATAATTGATCAATTTCTGCATTACCTTGTTCTAGTGAACTTGGAAGACCCATATGGGATTGGATTTATGTTAAATTAGTAAGATAATGTCTATTCCTGAGTATATTTCATACCTGAATTGTGGAGGTCCAAAACTGTGAGCCTCTTTCCTCTTTGGCCAAAAGTCAGAGAGTTGGAACTTACCTCTATTCCTTCAAGGTTATTGAGTTTCTACTTCAAAGGTCCCACCTAGATTCAATGCAGAGAGTTCTGCTCTCTCAAGGTGATTGTCAGCAAGTCCAGACCTTGTATTTCAGGAATATAGATGTAGATATTTTTCTAACTCAGACAAAAGTCTAAGGATACAACTAAGTTTCCAGTTCCCTTAAGGAGATAGCACTGGATTCCACCCAGAGAGTGATCCAGAATGTTTCCGGCTAGGGTGTAAGTGTGACTTGTTTTGTTCTAGCAACAGAATGTTTAACTGTGGATGTAGCTTGTGACCTTCAACTAGTCTCTTCATTTCCTTGTATCATCTTAATGCAGTTTTTTAAATCTTACTCCTACCTCTTACGATCAGAAGTATTTTAAGCAATTGGAAATTAAATGCAGGTGATTTTCAGTACTCACTGAAACTCCCTCCAAATACTATTCTATGTTTCTGTTTATTATTTTTGCGTCTTTGTACTCATTTCTTATACTTCTGATACCCATGCCCCTGACCTGGCAAGTAATATTTTTGTTGAGGCTAATAACACGGAATAAATAATAAACTCAATTCTGTATCATCTTGTATAAATTCAGTAATCTCAATATGAAAAACAACTATTTCTGCACATTGTGAATCAGTAACTATGCTGAAAGGTTTTTTAAAATCCATTAGCACCATGAAAATAGCATATAATTCTGTCTTTTAGATAGAATCATAAGGACTTTGTTCCACTTTACTTAAATTTTCTCATTTGTAATCTTCCTTTTCCTGATTTATTTGTATCGGTATAGAATATACATGCTGTAGTTATTGGTGATTCCTGTACAATGAGAGCAAGGATCCAATAAGTTCTCTTTATAAATCAAATTCTCAAACAATTCTTTTTTAATTCTTTTTTAAATTTTTTAATTATTAAAAATTTCCACCTCCTCCCCACCTCCCATTTCCCTTTCCCTTCCCCCACTACCCTCTGCATTAAATTCTTATAGAGGACTATTTGGAGTGTAATATGAACAGAATACAGTTAAGATTTGGATCCATACATTCCACATGTGCATTCTGTAATTTCTCTTCTAAGATTCAACTGATAATTACCTGGGACTCTTTAAGTCCTTGTTACCATCTAAGGTTTTGTTTAAATTAATCAGGTCATCAGGACCTATTTCAATAGGGGGCCATAGCTGGGAAATGTCTCTGTTGAAATAGGAGCAGCGGGGCTGCATCCCCAGCACCCCAGCCACCTGCTAGCTCATGCCCGAAATAACAGCACACAAACTGTATTCATTTAAACACTGCTTGGCCCATTTCTATCTATCTTCTTCTCACCTAACTCTCGCACCTGGACTAGCCCATTTCTAATCATCTGTGTAAGCACCCCAAGGTGGGCTTACCGGGAAGATTCTAGCCTCCGTCCATCCTGGGTCGGAGCTGCCTGGGAGAGCAGAGCCTGGTGTCTCTGCTCCAGAGAGCAGAACTGTCGGGTCTCTCTGGGAGCAGAGTAGAGTCTGACCTCACTTCCTCTTCCTCCCAGAATTCTATTCTGTTTACTCCTCCCACCTATGTTTTAACCTATCAGGGCCAGCCAAGCAGTTTCTTTATTGCTCAATGACCTTCCTCCTAGCAATCTTTCAAAGTCATTAAAAGTCTGCAATTGATCTCTCTTAATTTGCACCTTCTGAAGTCTAAATTTCAGTAAACATATTTTGTAACTTAAATAATTAATAGAATCTCTTCTTTGCATTTTCTTTGCCAGCTAGGCAAAATTGTCTTTACTTCTTCAAACATTCTTCCTAAATAATTTATAATTGAATCAGATAGGAAAATTTCATTCATGTAATGATAAACTATAGATTCAGGAAATTACTTATGCATCATTTCCAATGGCTGACTTACACAATATTGGCATGGTGTGGGGTTATTTAACATTCCCAGTGAAAGACATTTTTTAGCCAACTAAGAATTCTTCACAGGCACTGTGAAGGCCTGTTTTTTCTCTGTCTTTTTCTTGTAAAGGTATACTGAAAAAAAGTCTTTTAAATCAATAACTATAAGAGGCCATCCTTTAGGCAATAGGGAAGGCAAAGGAATTCCACATTGTAGAGAGCCCATTGGCTGACTCACCTTATTAACAGCTCTTAGGTCTGTTATCATTCCCTATTT